TCCTGCAAATGATGTCATCAAGCAGCCGCACCAAATCGCACTTTGCGGTGGAGACTTCAGAGGGACTTTTCTCAAAGCTTTAAAGCTTTTAAATAAGCTGTTTAGCAAGGACTTTGTTGCAATACAGATTTTTGGTGAGGCGGAATGGAAGACTGAACATGAGAAATGTGCTGATCTGCTCAGGACATGTCAGTTGTTCTTTAACTTGGTGTGTAGTTTACTTTGTGATTTCAGCAAGGCAAACTGAGCAGATGCGTGTTTTCATCATGTTTTTGCAGTCAAATAGGGTCTTCCTGGTCAGAGATTTCTTTCCTTAATGAAAAACAAAGTGTTTTTTTTCCCTTGACCTCCATCTGTTTCCCTTTCTTTCATGTTAGTATTTGATGTTTCCTTCCAGGTTACTACTAGTGGCATTTCTCCATTATTTTCTGAAGCTTTCCTCTCTCCTTTTAATATGTATGTAGAGGATAACAGAAGGCATGTGTTGTAATTTTATCCTCCAGGCAGTTATAATTCTCTGATTAGGGAGTTTAGAGTTTCCTGATAATCTTATCAAAATAATTAACAATTGCTCAAAAGTCAGAACTATGCGATCTTATAATCATTTCATGTACTACTACAATGCAGAGATATCTAGAGTGAACAATTCTGCCTTTATAACATTGGTACATTGGTTTGTGAGAGAAATAGAAAAATATTAGTATTTTGGAGAGAATTTTTAGGTCAGTAGAGTACAAACACAAGTTGTGAGATTTGAACAAGACATGAAAGCTAATACCACTGTTCTCATTACCTTTCACATGAGAAGTAATATGGAGTTTTTAATAAAATAAAAGATTACAATCTTGGTTCTTTCTAAACATTCTCTATAAGCACATACATATATATGTATATACATACTTTCCTGCACATTTTGTCAGCTCAGAAGAAAGACTGTTGTCTCTGTTATGCCTCACATAGCATCTGGGTTTTTGTTCCCTTTTTCATACGTTTATATTTGAGATATAATCCTTGTTTCTTGGGACTAACCAGCTTCCAGCCTGAGATGTTATTAAAATACCTGTATGAAATGTGTTGTGAAGCTAATTGAACGACACTCTGAAGTTCATATCATAAAGTTTTGAAGGGTTGCATTTGAGCTCTCAGTAGTGGTAATTACAGGGTCAAAGCTGGTGGAAGGAGGGCAGAAAGAACTGCTGAGATGAACTTCTACATCAGGAAACCTTGGTGCAGTCGTTACTGACTTTAATGGGAGTTATGTGAATATACTTGAAATTTGCATCTCATATTTGGGTTAGGCTTTTAACTTAAACTCACAGAATAGACAGCAGCAGGAAAGAAACCCACCGGGACATGCATTTCTCAGCTGACACATTTCTGCTCCTTTAGCAGAACAGCAGATGGATCGAAAGTCACTCAAACTGTTTCTAAAGCATTCAGGCAACGCAGGAAAATATGCAAAAGTTGTATCAAGGACTGCTAGAAAACAATCTCCATCTGTGACAGCTAGTTATGGTAAGGAAGTATAGTAAATAGCACTTAAATGAGAGTTAACTTCGAGATTTAGACAAAAAGCAAGCCTATGTTGCATCTGGGCAAGGAGGGAATTTTTGAAACTGAAGCTAATGGTGTTTACTGAGGATTGGTTGAAGCTGCTCATATAAAAGATTTATTATGCCCTAATACCTCTATCCTCTTTTTTTTTCTCCATCTTCATACCACTGGTTATAAATTGCTATAAGCATAAAGTTAAATAGAAAAGTCTCTGATGAGACTATGATTAGTGTTTCTGGGAGGTGCAGAAGCTCAATTTAGGCCTGGAATGGTTTTTGAAAATGCAAAACGGTTTAGTCTATTATAAGGTCTTGAAATATGAAAAACTCTATTTGTATGGAATGGATATGTCTTTATATATATGTGTGTGTGTGTGTGTGTGTATTTGACTCTTTTTTACACTTAGTCACATTCATGCTGTACATGATACTGCCCTCAATCAGTTAGGTGGTTTTAGGTAAATCAGAAGTATCTTATCAAAGTGTATGCGTGTGTGTATAAATGTACAGATTTCAATAAATTTTCCTTGTTTTTTATAGATGTTTTTTAATAGATTTATACAGTATTTTTACAATAGGGGTTGTCACAGAGAGGTATTTTGTAGCCTTAGCGCAATGACATATACATGTACTTAACTATATGGAGACTTATTCTTTGGTGTATCCCTGTGATCATCTTGTTTTTGCTTTTCTTGGTGTAGCTGTGATCTGCCAGTTACTTCTCAGAAGTGCCTAACCCCATGGAGCAATAACCATCAGTACATAGTGTGGAAAGCCAGCCAGTTCCAAGAAACAGCAGGCCTGCTTGTGGGCTTTGCTCTGGTTTGTTCTTTCCCTGCCCTTAACCCCATGAGTGTTTTTTTTCCCATATTTAGTGACTCTCTTCCATTATTTTGGGGAACTATAATGATCTACCACTGTATTTACAATGATTATGTTGTCATTATTAAAGGGAAAGCTTAATAGTGGCTTTGAAAACCAACTGAGGTTATCCTAATTTCACAAGGTTCGTGGCTTCAGCTGTAAACTTCCTCAGGAAAATAATGGTGGTGATGATGGTTTGATCTTGTATGGTGCCTATTTGTCACTGGAATACACATGACAGCAGTAAATAGTCTAATAGATTTGTTTTGAATTATAAGCTCGTGTGAATGAAAGGAAATAACCTGCCTTGCCTTTGCATGCCTGATTAGTTTTTGCAAACAAATCTTGCATATTGAAGGAAAAGAAAATGCACTGATGCGAGCAGCAGCAATAGAACATCAGGTAAACAGAGGTAGTCTGGATAACTTGATCTGTAGGTGCAGAATTTATTTTCTAAAATAGTCTTCTCTCCTCTTTAAAACATCTGTTTTGTCTGCTTTACATCTTGGAAAACAAGTGAAGAGTACTTTTTTTTTCCTGTAAATTCTTATAAACCTGAGAATTCTGTTCTTTAAGTGCATAGAGCCTCAGCAGGAAAGGAAGGTACCTTTGTTTAAAGCACAGCTCCTATTTGACTAAAAATCCAGCCAGAAACCTTGGGAACGTTATAAACCAAATGATTTTTTCCGAGCTGTGATAAGACCCTTCCATGAAAAGGGAAGGCTGAAGGGATGACAGCTGCAAAAGAGGGAGGGATGGAGGGATCCCCCTTCTTGAGGGATGAGGCAGAAGAGCACTTGCCTTGTACCTCCTTTGGTGACCCCAAGGCAGGATCTGGTGTCCATCACCAAAAGAAGCGGAGAGGAACAATTTTCACACCCTTTGACCACAAGTAGGTCTGAGAAAAAGCCCCCTGTTGCCACGTGTATGGTAACAGCTTGTGGTGCTGTTCTTTCTCATGCAACGTTTTCCTGGATATGGAAAAATTAATGCATCAAGTGTGGGAAAGCTGTCAGCTGAAGGCCTCTTCAAATAAAAAGCTCTTTCAGCATTTCCAAACAATTATGATCATATGTTAATATTTGTTTAAGGATATAATGGGATGTTAATAAGTGCCTCATACAGAAGAGTGCATTTATGATTCCTTGAACTCAGTAAATGATTAGAATATCATATAGTTAAAAGCTCAACCATAAATGAGGAATAAAAGACAAAATTATGAATCATTATTAATTATACTTTTAAAAAATAAAAAGTAACAATGTAATTGTGAATCAAAAAACATAATTCTGGAGGTGGAAAAAAAAGTTCCTTCCACTACTCACCATGTCTTAAATGTGGATTTAGAAATATGATTAGTATCTGAAAGAACATTGTTGCTCTCTTGCTGTCAGTAAAAAAACAGGCACCTCACCAGCTGCACAGCAACACCACAAGTGCCAAAATGTTGTAGAGGAGTTTTGTGTATTGTAGTTATTGGACAGTAGAGAGTTGATCATTTCTTCTGCAAAAAAAAAAGTTTTTGTGGTTCTAACGCAGTTAGCTATTTAACTTATTTGCAGAAGATTATTTGCTCTCCACTCTTAAAAGGTAATCAGAGTGTTAAATGAAAGCTTTGTTCTCTCAGGCTGGGCAGTGCTCAGATCATGCAGCTCAGGTCTGCAATGAGAAGTCTCAGCTTGCCAGACTGCCCCACAAGTGCTCTAGAGCTCTGAATTGCCTACGGCCCCTCTTACATACCACGTGCTTATGCAGCCTCCAATACCTTAATGTCAGTAAAGCTTAGGACAAAAGGATTGCAACCTCATCAGTTCGCTGTTCAGTCGGGTAGCTGTCATGCATTTTCATGAGCTATTTATTCCGGCATTAAAAAAATAGCATATTAAACTTGCAGTGATGCAATAAATCCCCTTCTGAGGCTTCAGTGTTTGTCCAAAGAGTAGTAGCCACGTCACGCAGAACACTCTTTTTGCTCTGCTTGTTCAAGTGAATTTGACAGAAAGATGTTGATGGGACACTCTGTACAAGGGAGTATAGTTATTTTTGAGGAAGATTCTTTGCAAAACCAAGATAAAATTCAAGTCAAACTACACTGAAGTTAGGAGCTAAAGGAGCTACAGTAATTGGTAGCAGCAAAGTATGGGACTTGACTGTCCCATTATATTAGTGGGGCTGTCGTGCTAGAGTGAAAGTGCTAGGGAAATGACTCTAGAGTAGTTGCTGGGAAATTACTCTGGCATCAGTGATGCCAGGTTTTGATGACAAGCCTTGCTTCTAAGAAATCTTGATTAACTCTCTTCAAAGGAAAAATTTTCTGTTCTACGTGATATGAGCAAAATGTTGTTTTCTAGCGCGACGGGGCCGTTTTACACTCTCCTCTTTTCCCTCCTGCCTTCTTTCCCTCCCCTCTCCTCAGATGGCGGGCGGCCTGTGCTCTGGGCGCTCCCCGCGCACGCCGGGCGCCGCGACCGCCACCGGCGCCCTGCCCTGAGCGCCCCACGGCAAGGCCGGGCGCTGAGTGCCCCACGGCGAGGCCGGGCCGGCCCCATGGCCTCGGCCCGCGGGACGCCGCGCGGCTCCGCTCCCGACGGCGGCTGGGGCTGGATGATCGTGGCCGGCTGCTTCCTTGTCACCATCTGCACCAGGGCTGTCACGAGGTAAAATCTCATTTATTTATGTATTTATTTATCTTTATTTTTTCTTTCCTTGGGGAAAGAAGTAGTAGATTTGAGATCTCTCGTAGCGGCCCACAGCTGATGGGGTTGATTCTGGCTGGATACATAGCCCCCTTTTGCTGTATTTTAAAGGCTCCCTAAAATCCACAAGGATGTGGGGATACCTAAAAGATGAACATCCCTCTGATTTTATTTGTGTCTGGTATGACAGCTGTAGTATCTAAACACACCCTCATGGAGATATATATTATATATATTTATGTGGGTGTTTTTTTTTTTTTTTTTTTTTTTTTTTTTTTTTTTTTTTTTTTTTTTTTTTTTTTTTTTNTTTTTTTTTTTTTTTTTTTTTGAATCAAAATCTCAAGCAAACAGTGTTATTTAAGGCTATAATGGTTTGGTAAGGGAGAGAGGAATCATTTAGGGTCTCTTCATGTCCACAGTGTCTCTTTAATCCAACATTGGTGGTGGTTGTTGCCATTTCCGTAGGATTTGTTGCCCTTCCACGTCTGTTTCAGAGATGTGTAAATAATACTCCCTCTTACTACACGTGTTGCAGGTACTAACCAGCCCGAGCAGGTCAGTGACCTAGAGAGGCCCTTCTCTATATTTACTTCTGGCATCCTAAATATGCAGGAAATACTTCCTGTATTTCTCAGAAAGAGAAGGAACAAGAATAGACTTCTGTCCCGTGTAAGCCCAATATATACATTGGGGGCAATATGGCTTCTACAGCTGGTGTTGAGTGACTTTGTCAGTTAGACACCAAGAAGGGTCATCTGTATGATCACGGACACTTAAGCTATATTTAGCAGAGAGATAGGCATCCAGGTAAGTGTGGAACAGAGATAGTATTTTTTTTCCTACTTAAAATATATAAATTTTTTAAAATAAGTCTGCCAGATTTAGGAATCTAAAGTCTAAGATCCTTGAATAAGCTGTATAAATGGGACCATTGCCCCACTCTCTAGGTGTCCCTGCTTGAGCAGGAGAATTGGACTAGGTGATCTTTAGAGGCCCCTTCCAACCTCAAGCATTATGTGATTCTGTGCAAAATGTACCAACCCCATAATAACAACAGAAATTCCATGGTGGATTTCTTTCCTTTTTCATATGTGAAACATTTTGCATCCATGAAATCGTCTAATGCCTGGCACACCTCCAGGGTACATGCACGCAAGGGTAGAGCTGGAGAAAGTGACCCTTGATTTGCAAGAGGGGGAAGAGAGTGGAACATGGGGCTCTTCTGCTTACTCAGATGTTAGAGTGGAGGTGTGCAGCCTTTTAATCCACTCCCCTGTGGAGATGGACAGAACAGTGTTAAGAAAGCAAAGTAATTTGTCCTGGAAACATTTTAATAAAACTTTTAGAAGGTCCTTGGGCTCCTGCCGTGTTTTGTATCTGTATCCATGAGAAATTGCATTTGAGTTCTCGTGGTTTTGCACTTGTGCTCTCATTCATACATGGCTACAGATGGTATTGATTCTATAGCTGCTCTGGTGGCCTTGTCCCTCTGGCTTTCACAGCTGTGAATGCCACCAGGCCATGGCAGGCTGGTGAGTCAAGAATAGGCACTGGAGCTTTGGGTATCAATATCATAATTGGGTATGATATTGGGAAGCAATATCATAATATAGGATACCAATTGATGCTGATAATTGCACATTTCCATTGTATGTCAATTCAAAGAAAAAAATGGTTGTGAAAATCTGGCATTGAATGCCGTACTAACAAACTTGCTGTTAATGTTCATAATCTCTCTGAATTGGCTTGATCTGTCTGAAATGGGCTCTAAGTCAGTCTAATCTGTCTAATCCTAATGTTGGGCTGTTACTTGGATGTTTTGTGATTCAGTTGTTTTCCTTCAATAGTAAGACAAATGTTTTCTAGGCAGCTGCCCCACATTTAACAGGTTGATGTTCATGTTCTCTTTCCCAGATGCATCTCCATATTTTTTGTGGAGTTCCAGACCTACTTTGGTCAGGATTACGCCAGAACAGCTTGGATCCATTCCATTGCAGACTGTGCCACCATGCTCTGTGGTGTGTATTGCTCTTCTAAGTCCTTTATCTCCGCTCATTTTTCAGTTCCATGGGACCTCTGCTTTTACTATGTTCACCAGCTTTTAGCTGTTCACTAACAGCTTTTATTCTATTTTATTTTATTTTGAAGCCCCGCTCGGGAGTCTGATCAGTAATCATGTGTCCTGCCAAGTTGGTATCATGCTAGGAGGGCTGCTTGCATCTACAGGACTAATTTTGAGTTCATTTGCCACCAGTCTGGAACATCTCTACTTATCGTTGGGAGTCCTTACAGGTAGGAGGCATTCGTGCATTTTGTTCCAGTCAGGAAAACAAATGCGGGATTGTTCAAAATCATATTCCTCTCATTAGAAGAAGGGCCATCTCCTTTGCTGTTTCACAGTGCCAAAGCACTGGTCTGTAGAGACTCAGACCAGTTGGCTTCCTTTTAAAGCTGAGCTTTTGGCTGTCCTTCATGACCTGAGTCTGACATAGCCCAGTGTCGGCATGCTACAGAAGCAATTCCTTAATACCTGTTGAGGGAGGACTGTGGATAACCTGAAATACTGGGATGGCAGAAGCGACTGCTGCTGCACAGAAAGATTTCATTTTGCCTGTGATTTGAGAGAGGTTTGTTGTGGCAGGAGTTTGAGTACCCCCAAATATTTATATATTAGCAGATCTTAACAACAAATGAGTAAACAGAGGATGACTGGGTGAATACCTAGCACCTCACATTGCACCTCACCTTGCATTTATGTGCATCATATTCTTGGTTGCACTGCTGCAGCTGAAGGTCACTTTGCATTCAGGTATGATGCTGAATGTTTTTGCTCTGTGCAGTCTTTCCATTGACTATACACAGAGGAACTCGAGAAGGGCTGGTGGTTACACTGACATTCTTCACTCATTAATATTGACCTGGTAGCCACGGTGATATAAACCCTTGTACTTGGTGCCCTGCTGTTTAGTAACAAGTTGGTGGAATTACTGCTGTTCACATGCTGCCAACAGCTTATTTGTTAAGAAAAAAAAAAAAGTCCTTATTGTGGTGCAGGTCACTCCTGCATTACAATGTTAATCTTTGACAAATGTGTTTGTATCAAATAAAAAGGCTCCTTGTAACCCAAAGGACCGTTTCACATACCATTCAAATGCCACCGAGGCTTCCTGTTTGAGAAGCACTATGATTATTGTGGTGGGAAAGCAGTTGCACTTGCTGCATGGAGTAGTAAAGAGCCTGTTCTGCAAGCAGTGAAAATGTAGTCTATAAAGATTCACTAATGCAGAAAAAAAAAGTCATGGTAACGTTTGGTGCTGATGCACTAAGAGACACCCTGCAACCAAGCTAGATTGGAGCTGACACCATAACCGACTAAGGTCTAGGTCCATAAAAGCAGCGAGGCTTAAAACTGAAGAGTGAAGCAGAGAGGAGTTGGGGCACTGGCAATAAGTAGCAGAGGTCCCTCTGAGAACCAGGAACACATTTTCAGTTCCAGTTTTTCATTTATTTTTCACAAGATATATTAGATTTGGGCGACGCTGCTGCCATGAGTCCAGCTCAAGGCCCTCGGCCTAGACCCTCCTCTCACATCCCGATGAGTGCTGGGCAGGTGACCGTTGCACCAGTCACTGAAGCCCCCTTCGCCTGTCCTAGGAGGCCGAGTGCCCGCTGTGCAGGGGAACGTCTCAAGCCTGTCCCAGCACCGAGTGATAAAGCCCTTTGCTGGAAATGGGGGCAATTCTAACATGAATATACAACGTGCCCCAAAATCCCAGTCAGGAACTTGTTTCTATGTCTGTTTTGGAGCATGTTCATCAGTGTTAGAGCAAGCATTTGCCCTGAGATTAACTCTGCACTCTGGTTTCTTCAGTAGAAGCCATGACTTTTTGCCCTAGTTTGAGATGGACCTAATTTATTTACTAAATTGGACGTGATTTTGTCTTCCAGGGCTTCCTCCTCGTTTTACTTGAACACAAGGATTTACAAATGGTCAGCTAGTTGCTGCGTGGGCTTTGTTTAGCTGACTCGGAAAGGTTTATTGTAGAACATATTGTAATAGAGATAGATCTTTTGGGTGTGTTTCAGAGACACGGGTGCAGTGGACAGGGTTGCAAGAGGCTGAACACAAAGTGGTCTCTCACCAGGCCAGGGTGCCCAGTGCCCTTGCTGCACAGGCCCTGTGTTTAAGACCTCATACAGTATAGACCGGCGTGTACTTTTACTAATATTTTTGACAATCCTTGTGCTCATTATTAAATGAGTCTCATCACTCCTTACTGAGCCTTGTTGCTATAGGTTAATGATGGTCTGTTAGGTTTGTCAGTGACACTGACAGTGGAAGAAAGGAGTCATCTTGGTTTCTGTTCACACTTTAACTGGGCAGTTCAGCTGTGCTAATGAAAGTAGGTGGTTGTTTAATTAAATGTGTTCTATGCACTCTGCTCAGTGTTAAGCCACCTGCATTATACTTTCTTTTCTAGGACTCGGGTTTGCACTCTGTTACTCTCCAGCCATTGCCATGGTGGGCAAATATTTCAACAGAAGAAAAGCGCTGGCTTATGGAATAGCCATGTCGGGAAGCGGAATTGGTACCTTCATCTTGGCCCCAGTGGTCCAGCTCTTAATTGAGCAGTTTTCCTGGCGTGGAGCATTACTCATCCTGGGAGGTTTTGTTCTAAACCTCTGCGTCTGTGGTGCCTTGATGCGGCCTATTGCTCTCAAAGAGGACCGTAAAACTGCTCCTGAGTTCCTTGAACAGGATTATGTCCCTGATGCACAGAAACAAGACTTAAAGCAAATGTCCAATTGTTCACCTTTAATCAAAGCATGGTCCCGAGAATGTTTATGCTACTGCTCGTGGAAAGAATATGACTTTTTACTGATGCCGGGCTTCATGGTGCTGGCAGTGTCGGTTTTGTTTATGGCCTATGGCTGTAGCCCTCTCTTTGTCTACTTAGTGCCTTATGCTTTGACTGTTGGAGTGAGTCATCACCAGGCTGCCTTCCTCATGTCCATACTTGGTGTCATTGATATCGTTGGCAATATCACCTTTGGATGGCTAACAGACAGAAGGTAATGGCTTGGGGCTAAACAAACGTGTGCTGTAGCCGGTGGGAGGCTGGATCCCAGTGAGAAGTTGATATATAAAATTTAACATTAGGGTCGGGTTGTCCACAGCACGCACAACTCCTCCAACACATGGCCTAACTTCTAGAAATGCTTTCTGATTGATGGTTTTGTCTCTGAATTTTTCAAATTCTGCTAACTTATTTTTTCCCTAAGAAATGAAATGTTTGTGCAAAACTCTTGCGTTCAACTGTGGAGATGTAAACCGCTACGCTGATGGCTGAAAGTATATTGAGCATGAGCTTCTCTACGTAATTGGTAGAGAATATCACTCTGCTTCTGCCCCTCTGTCTCTTTTGTGCTGCTAGAGAGGTACAGAAGTGATGGAAAAGGAACAGGGACCTGGTCCACTATTGTCACACAACTGCTTAAAGGGACTGGCCTAAAGTAGTTATACGTTTTTCAGTGTATGAGGACTCATTGCTCTGCAAAGCCAGCTCATTCCAGCTATTGATATGCACAGCAGCTGTAATATCTATAAAGCCTGGCTGAGCTAAGAAGTACCTGGATTCTAAAGGTCAATGTAAAAGACTGAAATGCTACCTGTCAAGGCATGGAAACTGAGATATTGCCTCCAATTACAATTTATTCATTCCTGTTTTGAAATCTGCAGGTGTCTGAAGAAGTATCGGCACTTCTGCTACCTCTTTGCGGTGGGAATGGACGGCCTCTGTTGTCTCTTCCTGCCGGTCCTCCAAAGCTTCCCTTTGCTTGTGCCTTTTTCATTTACCTTTGGCTACTTTGATGGGGCCTACGTAACGCTGATCCCTGTTGTGACAGCAGATGTAGTAGGAACTTCTTCCTTATCATCGGCTTTGGGTGTCGTGTATTTTCTGCACGCCATACCGTACCTGGTGAGCCCGCCTGTTGCAGGTCAGTCACAAATGACTTTCCTATAATCTCAGTGCTATTCCGGATTTTTACCCGGATTCAAAACAGAAGTATCCAGCATTTAGTCAAGAACTGGTCAAAAACGGGTATCAGTGTCATGGTGAAAAATTTATTATAATTTTTGATGGCTGGTTTATGTTTTGATTATAGCATTTGGGAAAATTAAAGTCTTGGAAACTGAGTGTCTCGTACTTACCTTGTGATGGAGCATCCTCTTGCTATGGAAGTGTGTCTAATGAAAGAGCAGGGCAGGCTAAGCCCAGGTTTGTACCTGCTGGAGTCAGGGCTTCCCCACATGATCTGCTCCGATTTCAGCGTCCCCAGAGGAGAGAAGGACAGAGGCATCAGGAGGGGCACCAAGCACTTCATTCAGCTAAGTGCCCTCTTAGCGAAACGAGGATATTGTATAAAGGTAGCACTACATGTTGTTATGTACTTCCTTGCCCCATCTTAGTAGCATCAGAAAAAATCTGCAAAAAAAGAAGTCCTTTTGGCTCCTTTAAATAAATAAATACATCCTCCCCTATCTTTATGGACACTGAGATACAGATTTGTGGCTAAGAGTCAGTATTGTATTGTGGCTTTGATTTTTTCAGGCTATTGAAACACTGAATATGAACTAAGTATTTTTGCAACATTTTGGACAAATTAATTACAGTCTTGATATTTTTCCTTTGAAATGGTAAGAATGACCTTCCTCTGGTAGTCTTATTGCATTGTGGAGAAGACTATGCCGAGTGCCTTGTCCTTTCTCCCTTCAGTCTCCCATACGGAATTGCGGGTGGGCCTTGGTGGGATGTAGAAGAGCCACGGGGACAGCACATGCACACTGAGCAGGAAGGGAGCCCCTGAGCAGAGAAGGTGGCAGCTGGACCTTCTGGGAGACGTTAGGTCCCGGTTAAGCACTGTCTTATTGGGGTGATTTCTACATAGGGAACAAGCTGAAATTTGAAGCAATACTTATGGAATGCCCTCTAAAGAGCAGAAGTGGCGAGGGTGGGAAAAACAAAACATTCCTTGTGAAATGACTTGATTTTGAAAATGGAACCAAAGGAAGTTTCTCTCTTAAGTTCTTTAGTCCAGAGAACTTTCCTTCTCAATTCCTAAGGGCTTTGAACAGGTGGGTTAGTCAACTTGACTACTGTTTGCTTTTATGCAGCCCTCCTCACTAATAACGAAATATCCTGTTTCCTGTCAGTGTCATTCTAAGTAATGATGAGTAAAAAGATCTTTATGCAATTTTGAGCATTGTGGAAGGAATATTTTTGAAAAGGCCATATATATATATATGTGTATGTCATATATTTTATTTGTTCTTGATGTCAGTTTCCAATTAATCTCTCCTTCTGATGTTTTTAATTGCAAAAACACTGAAAAAAATTAAATATTTTCAAATGATGCAGGAGCCTAGGGCATGACTCATTTAATGCTTCCATATGAAGATCTCACACATACAATATTTGATCCCAGGGCTCCCTAAGTATGTCTCAAGACAGTTAAATCTGTGCATATGCAAGATACTTAGTGCTGTCGTGATGGCTGCTGTGCTTTTTCTCATTGGTTTGACCTCTGAAAAGAAGCCCATAAAAACCTTACCTACATGCTAATATTAAACTGAAATTCCTCTACCTTTACCTGCCTTGCAAAGAATAGTGACAGCCATATATATCTGTATAATTAAACTGTAGGGATATATCTAGGTATCTAGATAGATCTAGATATCTAGATCTGCAGAATCTATAAATTATTAGAAACCTGGAAACCCTAAAAACGTGTGTGTATTTTCTTCTCTCCCTGCAGGTTGGCTTGTGGATACAACTGGCAGCTATACTGCATCATTCCTCCTGTGTGGATTTTCTATGATATTTAGCTCAACACTATTGTGCTTTGCGAGAGTAGCAAAGAAAATCAAAAAGACACGTTTGCAGTCACTCGCCAATGACGCCAGCACCAAACAGCACATCTGGACAAATGGAGCGATAGCTTATTCTGTCACAGGAGAATTAGACCAAAAGGATGTTGAATTTTTGGCTGTGGACACAAAGAGCTACAGCAACAGATGACAAGTGCCATCCAGACTGAGCACAGCACAGCCAGGGTGGCAGTGGTGTTATGCTGCTGAGGACTTCAGTTCTGTGAAACGAAGCATCTCCCAGTCACGTTTTTCCATCAGCTTTTAGTAGGCTAAAACTGACATACAGCAACAGTAATACAAAGTTAATACAATAATAGGACGTAGCTGGATTAAAAGTAAAGAGCTTATAGATATACGTGTTCCAAATTTGTTCCTAATGCTGTGTCTTGACTCTTCAAGTAATATTGAAGAAGATAATTGGCTGTAATCAAAATTCGATTTTGATGTTTTCAGTCAACAAAATGAAGTACAAAATTGAAGTTGAAATTATTTTTAAATTATTTTTTGAACCACGACAGTGAAAAAAGCTTTTTGGTGGCCTGGTCCCTTATATTTCAATGGACTAATCAAAGAACCCACTGAAGACCTTCACACTTATCCCTCTGCATAAAGCTCTCTGCACATAACCCTTTCCCTTGCCAAAGTTGTTTCTAGAAAATGTGTCAGGAAGCGGCAGTTAGCCTTGAAAGCAGCTTTATTTCTGTTACAGTGAGCCTAATGTTGGTATGCAAGTAGCCACTTTGTTTGAGGTAAGTTCCTAGAGCTGCTTTCCCAGCTCTCTGCTACACGGAAGTTGTAAAAACTCTTTTCCTGGGATCAGAAGCCTAAATTTCCGAGCCCTGCCGGCGCTGGCACGGGAGGTGCCGGAGGGGCAGCACTGCTGGGTCACAGAGCCTGTCAGCACCTTCTGCCCAGGGGCCAAGGGGCTTTCTGGGTTTCCAAAGGCACCGCCGCTTCCTGCTGCCAAATCAGCAGCTCTGGAAGCAGGGAGTGCAAACAGCTAATGGAGAAACCGCTCACGGGCCGTTGGGGAAGAGGATCACAGAGTGGTACCCGGCAGACAGGTTGTTGCAGCGTGTTGCCGTGTCAGAGCTGTCTCCTTTCCTTGGATCCAGTCACCCATTTGCACCAGCTGAAGAGCTGATCAGGTCATTTGTCCTGAGTGGCCAGAGAACAGCAGCTGTGATCTGCTGATAATTTCCTGCTGCTTGTGCTAGCAAAATGCTCCAGCTGGCTCCCTTGTAAAGACTGTTCACCACATGTACCTCATGGGATAAGTTGCCGATGTGATGATTTATTAAATAATGGGATGCTTCTGCATTTCCAAAACGAAGAGCAGGATGAACTTCACATTCTGAAATGTGAATCATTTCTGTATTTTGATACTGTTAAAATTTTTTTGTTCATTAGTAATTTGATCGGAGTCCAAATAATTTTCATCAGTGCTCAGTTAGTAGTGTGATAATCATCTACAGTGTATTTGATGTTTGCTAATGATGTCCTGTTCATATGTCCTGTTTGTTCAGTGCCTCAGAAGGGAACGCAACACAGACTGTGAAGACTGAAGTTAATTTAGATCAAAAGTAAAAAGAGCCCAAGCATAAGGGCATGATGTATTTTTCATATATACAAATAGTACATGTGTTAAGTAGTTCCATTTTTCTTGCATATTTCAAACATAACATTGATACTGTTTGTCTTTGGTTGGCAAGTTCAAAGTGTTTATAGCAACCGCAGTCCAGAAGTCGGTTCAGAGCAAGACCCGTGACTTACAGAACAGACAGAGAGAGAAGTTTAAAACCTGCTTAAAACTAGTGACATGGCACTACCTCAGCTCTGGGGCGTCGGGTTGGAGCCACCAAGAATGGGTTGAGTTTCATTAGATGCCACAGGGCTGAAGATCTAGGGCATCCCGAGTACTTCCATGAGCCAAAGTTTTTTTCCAAATGTGCCCTTTTCTCCTTGCTGATCTGCTAAGCAACAGCCAGAGTGGTCCATGCTGGAGTGCCCTTTGGGAAGAGCAGTCCTGACCAAGGCTTCCTCTGTTGGGCTGCTATGTCTTCAGTGCCAGGCAGAGCAGATCTGCCATCCTAATGGCTCTGGCCAATGGCCTTAACTTATTTTCCTGTTATTTGTGTATTTTTCAGAAGTACAGCTTTCAGTACTTCCATTTCTTTCTAAAGGGCTTTTAAATTGGTCATGGAAAAGATGAGCAGGCCTCTAAGTTTGATATGGACATAAAGGCAAAAATTAGAAAGCAGTATTTGCACCAGAAATATCTTATCTTGAATATCAATTAACATTCAAAGCCAAACACTAGAAATATTCTAATCTGAATTTGGAATATTGTTAATATCATTTTTTTCAGGCAAGATTCTGACTAAATATAACAGAGCTGGTGAACTTGGCTTAAAAGAGCTCTTTTTACAAGCTGTAGGTTAAAACACCTGCCTGCCAAAGCAGCTGTAAAAGCTCCCATCAGCCAGACTGAACCCTGCCTGTCATCTTTCCACCAACCTCTGTTTCCTAATGAATATTTGCCCTAAAAATACCCCCAAAAGAAAATTCGTAACATGTTACTATTGCAAGTTTGACTAGTGTCTAAACTATGTTTTTCTGTAGGTTTGTGCCTGTTTTTCCAGCTAAAATAATCTGCAGTCATTCTTCCAGGCTTATGCAGCCAGCTTTTTGAGAGAACAGGAACAGAGGGAAGGAGGGTACCAACTTCACTGGTCTGTGCCCGTGAGGAAGGACAAGTAGCCTGAGTCAGGACTGGTGAGACTTTCGTATCCTAAGCAAAGTTAAAGTCAACTTTGGTTGTTGTTGATTTAATTTTGTTAGTGTGATCCTGGGATGTAATCTAATTGTTATTTTGTGACAGAAAATAAAATATATCAAGGAACCTTAAGTTTGGTTTTAAGATATGTGCATTTTAAAAACAGAAAATAAATTATCATTAGTCTCTCGTGAGTTAGGAACAATATGTGCATTAAAAAATTAAAGGCGGTTCTGTTAATTAGTGGTGATGAAAATACCATTTTTACATCTAAGTGCTAAGTTCCCTATGAAGAACTAGGGAGTCATTTGGTCTATAAAGACTTACTGTTTCAGTAAGTTATAAGTCAGTGCTGTTAACAAAACTTTAATAACTTTTTTCAACCTCATGATGTGTCAGCAGTTATTCATGCCAGAGTTGCACAGTATGAATTGGAACAATACAGACACTTATGCCCTATTAAATAATCCTGTATGACAAATAATTTGTGTTTTCAGATATATTTTTATTTGAATGCCTTTTTGTTGGCATTTCCCTTTGTACGTCCCACGTACGGTTCACACTGCCAGTGAGTGCTTGTTTTCAAACCTAACGCACCCAGGCTGCGTGCCTGGACACAGAGCTGTGCAGGGACGGTCTGGAAGCTGCTCTGCATGCGGGGCAGGCAGGGATGGGCAGGGAGCTGGGAATCCTCAGCTGGGATAAGGCTGTGGTTCCGGCCAGCGGCACGATGGCCTCGTCGGACCTGCCTTGGGCAGCGCCTGTCCCAGGCAGAAACGCGGGGTCCTGCCCCAAATGCATCCTGATGGGAATCACACTCTATTCCACGCAGCTCAGTGTAAGTAAATGTAGAATTTATTCTTTAATTTGTTTTTAACTGTTTGTTTGTACGTCTTTGGAGAGCTTTGCTGTGTTTTACCTGTGTATTTTGATTCATAAATGGGTACCCCCTGCAGGGTTGGCTTCGCTCCTTTTTTCCTTACACTGAAAGCTTAGACTCCGTTGAGGTATTCCCACTTAATATGAGTGATATATTCAGCCTTTCTGTGGTTTGGGCAGTGGGATTTGCACCCCACGTTGCCTCATTTTCCGTGTTCACGTTGAAATGCAAGTGTTTTTATTCTGCACCAGAGGCTCAGGCCGGGCCTTTCTCGTGGCGGTCGGCGCCAGGCGATGCAGCAGCACCACCCCGCGGGAAGCGAGTTTGTGTGCGTGTTATGTGCACGTTAGCCGGGTGTCTGGCCTCTGGCACCACCCTGGGTTGTTCCACGCTCCTAGCAAGGGCTCAGAAGCGTTTTGCAAGGGCAGTGTTCATTTTCCACGAGCATTACTATTTATGGTGCCAGGAGCACTGCTGAAACTGAACAAGTTGTGAATACAAGCTGCTGCTAGCTGCTGGTGTGGAGATGTTCATGTTCTTCCTAGGAGCAGTGCTGGCTTCCCTTCCCACCTCTTCTGTTTGGCCACCCCCTTTCCCACACGCACCTCGTGCTGCGTTTTCTCTTTCACCAATCCTTGTCTTTGCTCCCATCCCACCTATGGAGCAACAAAAGCCTGGGATTTGTCTTCTGACCTTGGCACTGATGGCCTCAGAGAGGCGCCGCTCCCGCGTCTCCCCTCCTCCCTGGATGTTTGCGGTAGCGGTTCCCAAGCGCGTGGGTTTGGCTGAACTGGACAGATATTACTGAGTGCAGGGGTTCATTCTCCCGTGGGCGCCTCCGAAGCCGGCTTAGCCGAGTGTCCGGGCTGACGCGCCGACCCTTTTCCAGCACTTGAGCCCTGTTACTCCTTCAAATGGCTCTTTCTTTCATCTACTGACATGAGGATTAGCCCGCAGAGAGATACCAAAAGCAACAGCTGAGGGATGTCATGGTCTTTAATAAGTCACAGCAATAATATACACTTTAAAAGCTTTGTAGGGAACTAGCCAAGCTAGCATTGAATAGCATATGATATAGTAAACAAAACAGAGCTTCAACACGAGTTATTTCACAATAATATTTAAAAAAGAATTTGTAACAGTGTCAGAAATATCTAGTACACTTTAGTATCATCACGCCTTTCATGCAGGTATATTAGATGTTAGGGCGTTATCATTCCCTTTTCAGTAGAAAATTCCATTTCTAACTTAAAAGTTCTCTGTCCTCGAGATCACAACTCTAACACAAGCTTTATAAAAATGTCAGCACTGAAGAGATTTCAAAGCTCTTGAATGCCAGCAAGCGTGCTCTTCCTTGGCAAATGAAAACTGGCACTTGCAATTTCTGTGTTTCCCAGAAGCTGATGCTACCATGACTTTCCTCTGGTTATAACTTGAATCTTGGAAGCTTTGGATTCAGATGGAAGATCGTAGCTTCCATAATTCACCCAGGTATTCTTCATTTGCAGGATCCAGGTCCAGGGCTTTCTCATAGCACTCAATTGCCTGCACTTTCTCGCTGTTTAGTTGATGAATGAACCCGAGCTTGCTAAAAGCTGCCGCATCTCCTAAGCCATTCTGAATTCTCCTTTCCAACAATTTCTGCAGAGAATTTTTGCACTTTTCTCTTGCAAGGCAATCCTGCTCAACTTTCAGCCCTTCTGTGAAATGTTTAATAGCTTCAGATTCTGATTTCATATGAAAATACTGGTAATTTCCATAAGCATGGTGGAGGTATTGTTTATCTGCAGGGTGTAGATTTGTCATTTCAAACACCTTCTGAAATGTTGCTTCCGCTTCACGGTACTGTTTTGCTTCTGCGTACATACCTGCGAGGTCACCGTAGGCAAAAAAAAATGTTGACTTATACTCGATCGTTCTTTCAAAATGAAAAATGCCATGTCGAATGAGTTCTTCCTCTTCCTCTCTGGGGGGGTATTTTTTCTTTTTCAGTTGGAACAGTTTTCCTCTATAGCAGAGTCCCATTTGGTGATGTAAGAAACTACATTTTGGAGTTATTGCTAGGCTTTTTCTCAACAGCTCCAGTGACTTGTCAAATTCACTTTTCTTTCTATAAAATATAGCAGCATATCGCAGAAAATAAGGAAAATCGGGGGTTTTCTCCATTGCTTCTTTAATGTAGCTCTCCCCTTCATCAACTAGATTTAAAGCCTGGAGTTTCAATGCAAGCAAGGCCATAACAGAAGTATCATTTGGGCTCAGTTCCACTGCGCGCCTCAGGGCTTTCAGGGTTGAGATTTCATTTCTGTCACTTCCCCTAGTACTATTTTCCAAACGATACAGTGCTATTGCATAGCCCACGTTAAATTCTGGGTCGTTGGGTTCTTTTTCCAGAGCACTTCGAAAGCTCTCCTTTGCTCTAAAATAGCATGTTCTCCCAAACTGCAGTAACGCCCACCCTTTCTCGGAATAGATCTCTGGAAGTTGTACTTGGAAGCGAGCAGTACTTGAAAGCTTTTTGCAGGTGTCTTCCACTTTCCTTAAATAAGTTTGAACTTCTTCATATTTGTTCATACAGTAATAAATCCAGGCATAGTTCCCCCAGGTAACAAGACTCCTCCTCTCAATATCATCTGCATGCTTTGTTTTAATTTCTTTTTCTGCTTTTCGGAGATTTTGCAGGGCATCCTCATTTAAGTGCTTTAGGTGACACACATATGACAACATATTGTAGCTTGCAATAGTGGATTGCGTGAGAAATTCAATCTGATTGCCCATTTTGTCCTCGATGGCATCCAGATCCACATCCTCCTTCAGCAAAACCCATGTAAAATGACATTCTAGTTGCAGCAGGCTGCACTTTAAGTCATTCTTGGAAATGATGCTAGAAAAAAAAAAAACACAGAACAACTTATATCCTTATACCTGCTTTAAAGAAAAAATCAGGCATGATTTAAAAGCAGAGACATGGAGCTGTCAGGCAATCACTGGGTTGATTGTTGGCAATTATCAATAAGCCAAAGTTGGGGGAACCCAGGTGATTAGCTCTTCCAATAATTCTTGCAAGTGTAACTGAGGTCACCTCTTATACAGCAAAAGTTTATGGATGTCACAGAAGAGGGTGAGTCTCTACTGTAAAGCTGCTACCTCTCTAGGGTCTCAGGAATATATTTCTACCCTTAAAATATGCACTGGAGCCTATCCAAAAGTGGTAATCAAATAAAAGCTTCCCCACAAATTAGGAGGAAGTGGTTTAATGCCTTTCCCATATTTTTGTTTATTTCAAAACTTTAGTATTTTATTTTGAATATCCTGAATTTGTAAATTTTTGTCTATTGCATAGCATCACTTTTTATGTTCTGATGATCACAGAATCACAGAATGGTTGAGGCTGGAAGGAACCTCTGGCGATCATCTAGTCCAACCCTCCTGCATCCAAGCGGGTTTGGAACATCTCCAGAGAAGGAGGCTCCACAGCCTCTCTGGGCAGCCAGTTCCAGGGCTCTGTCACCCTCACGGTCAAGAAATTTTTACTTAAGTTAAATACACTTTGTATGTTTTAAGCACCTGTGTGGGCATTAGAGGCCAAAACAGAGCTGTCCTACAATCATGCCCCATTAAACCAACTTTGCATGCTTCCACTTACTTGTTTTTTATTCAGAGTTGTGTTTTTAGTGTGCCTTTGTTTTAAAACAGTCATGTCCTGCAGCAATGCCATCCCTATTTAGGAGCTGCATGTGTTAGTCCATACAATCTTGTCCTTGGACACAAGCTATAGAATGTTGTAGAATCTCTTGCCTCCCTCATAGAAGGAAACGTATACAGTTTTATAAAAGGATTTCTAAATTAAGGCCTTATTTGTTAAGACTTTTCTGCTTTCCCTTTTTTAAAACCTAGTGGTTCTAAAAGCCTGCAGAACAACTGTGTGATGCAAAATCATGCAAGTGAAAATGTGGAAGAAAACTTAGGCTTCAAAAGAGGAGAGAAAGGAGTAGAAAGACTGGAAAATGAGGAAGAGGCAAATCAAGGAGAAGCATTTTTTAAAAAAATATATATATATTTGAAAAATATTTTAAACAATATCTGCTTTTATAAAGCAATCTCTAAATAATGCCTTGGATTGGTATTAGCAACAATGCTTAATTAGAAAACTGTATGTGGTGAAATTGCATTTCCAGCAGAATGAAGGGGAAGTAGGGCTAGCTGCTTGCTTTCACTGCTGTCTTGCTGTGGTTAGAGCCCCTGGATGCAAGGGAATGCCACTGACATGGAGCTATTGTGTCCCAATTCAGCCAAATATTCCAGGAGGAGCTTGGAGCATGTCTCAAGCCCCATTCTTATACTAAAATATCTGACTTTGCAATTCCTCTTGCTTCTTGTTGCTTCAGCTGAGAGCTACACAAACTGATGGGTGAACACAACAGTGAAAAGTAATGAAAAGACAGCATGCAAGATTAATATTTATAATTCACAAAAAAAATTGTGATGAAATACAAGTTAGCTTAGCTCAACATCTAATTTCTAAGCGCTAATATTTTCAAAACTGTCACAGACACCTTGGCTTTGCTGGATCGGAGCGTGCGTGACAGCCTTCAGAAGGCGTCATCCCTTCTCCCGTGCCAGGCGCTGTGCCCCGTTACCTGCATCACCTTCCGTGCCAGCAGAGGAAAATTACTTCCCAAGATCTCGCCATCACTCTCGGCGACCCCTGGCCTGCCCGTGCCCCGTCCAGCTCTTCCAGCAGCCCCACCCGCATTATTCCCTCCGCAAACGGCGCGGGAGTTCCCTTTCCCGTTTAAACAGCGCCCCGTCAACAGCATTACAGCAGCATCCCTGGTTTTATTCCGATGCTCCCGGTAACTATTCTGTACTTTCCCCCGCTGATGCTCGGTCCTTTCCTCCTCCGCCTTTCCCGCCTGCGCCGCTCTCACCTCACGCCTTCCCGCGCGCCCGGCGCCGCCTCGGAGCCCATCGCGCCCGCCCGCGCCGCTCCGCGCGCCCTGCGCCCGCCCGCGCCTTTTATCGGGCCCCGCGGCCCATGTGATGCGTGGGTCGAGCGGGGAAACGGAAAGCGAAACCGCGCGCCTCGTCCCGCCGAGCGGCGGGGAAACGGAAACTCTCCGCCGTGCGGGGGGGCTCCTCGCCGCGCCTGCGGTTTTGTTTGTCTTCTTTTCGTCTGGTCTTTATGCCAGCCGCTGAGCTGTGCTGCAGGGAAAGCGGCAGCGGCTTCTGGCGCACAACATTTGCTGCATATCCAGAGGCCTCTAGGATAAGGAAAGTGTTTCAGACTGTTGGAATAGAAACTACTGTATCGGCTGGGAAATGGGGTCATCTCTCCCGCTGCCCCTGCTGGTGAATCTTTGCAATTTTTTTTTCCTTGCAATTTTTTATTTCTGCAGCTCAAGCTCCCGGTTTAAAGGTATTGTGTCACTCAATGCCGCGTTTAGGATGAAAAGAATGGAGATTCCTACTGCCTTAGACGCTCAGGTGCTCCAAACTGTGCCACTTAGTGTTTGTTAGAAGATTGTTTCAGTTGCCCTTAAACTGGTACTGTGAGGCCTATAAAGGGCCTAAAAAGCTTGCATGCTAAAGAAAGTATAAGACGTAGGCTAGGTAACGTGCAGTTAACCTTGCCACGTGCTTCGCAAATACCGCTTGTTGCAGTCGAGGACAAGGACTAGCAGGATACCGTATCCTGCTGCTCTTGCTGTGGCCACCAGATAAGGTTGCGAACTTGCCAGGAAGATTGTGAAAGGGCAGGGGTTAGTCAATGGTGGTCGTAGATAATTTAAAAAAGAAGTTGTAGTCGTCTGTAAACACATGAACCTCTCCTCAAGCGGCGCGGATCTCAGGGCAAACTGCATGAGGTCTGCCACCGGCCAGCTAATAAAGCTTGCTTTTAAAACCGGGTTGAGTGTGCGGGTGATTACTGGGATTACGGACTAACAGTACCATTTTCTCCAGAAATCAGAAGCCTTGGTCCCTTTGAAGATACAGGCCTCCTAATTTCAAATGGCTAAATTGTGCCTTTAAAGGTGCAGGATCCTTCCCAAGTGCAAATCGGTCATTTCTTAGTCCTGCTCGCCCTCTGGACATCCCTTGCCTTGCTACAGGTGTAAATACTGACAGGGTTCTTCTCAAGGGTTCTTCTCAACCCTCAAGGAAGAGAATTTGTTGATCATAGGGACCAAGATATTAGATACATTTCTAGAAGAGATAGGACTAATTCTGAATACTTTCGTCCAGTTGGTAGGATTTTTCTCTTTGGTAAGCTTTATGATCAAAACCAGAATGCTCACATTGGTTACCTTCATCCATTTGAGAAAACGGGAAAGAAATAGCGAAGCAGAAGACATGCTTATGGATAGACAAGTCTCTCCAGGACTGCCCTGTAACCTGGAGGCACACACTATAGCAAGATGTGCCAACAGACATATTACACAGATTTGTAGTCTCCTTGGAGATAACTAATGCCTGTGGAAATAACTAATGCCTGTAGAAATAACTGGTGCCTGTGGAAATGAGTTGCTCAAAGCGTTGTGAAAGAGACTGACTCCAGCAGTGGCTGTAGCAATAGAGGTAAAACAAAGACGAGTGGTGTAAGGGACAGCTCTGCATACGCTGTGCGTGTATGCAAAAGGGTGGAGGAGTTTGGATGTAACCTGGAGCTGCAGGATAATGGAGAAAGGTGTAAAAGCATCTTAGCAAACATCTACAAATGACCCCAAGTAGAGGGGTGGGAAGCTGTGGGAGGAAGAAGAAACCAGCAACCTCAGCAGCATGTGCCTCTGAAGGAAGGGCTTTGGAAGCGGAAAACTTAGTGTTACCCTCCCCAGCAGCCCAAAACTGCTGACTGAAGAGCCAGAGGTGCAACGGCAGGGTGAGCATAACTTCAGGAAAAGTGTGTGGATGTTACAATTGTAATTGTATCATTACTCCTATTGTGATTAATTTCTGTATCTAAATACCCTGACTAGATTGTCGCCCCTCATTTCTCTACAGTAATTACTCTAGTGAATGATGACTCTTGAATTAGATTTTTATTGCACTAACAACAAATCGTTGGCTTTCTGTATCTGTAGGGTGGGCTTCCTTTGTGACCATAAGCCAGTTTTTGTAACACCATTCTTCTGTTAGTAACTCCATTCCATTTTAAAATGTGAGGTTTGCAAACAAATGTGATGATTGATAACAAGTGCTTTTCATAGACTTTCTAATGTTCCTTGATAATCAGAGGAATATTTTGCAATAATAAGCTCAAACATGCATAGGAGGGTGCTATAGGAGACTTTTCATTATCCTTGGCACATGACAGTGTCAGGTTCCTCCATTTTGTGAGTAATTTTTAGTAGAGGATGCACAAGGTTGTTACGTCCCAGCAAGCCAAAGTCATTTATTTCCAACATCCCTGTGGCCTCAGAACTGCTGTTGCTGCTGCCACCATGTTTAATCTCTGTGAAGAAACAAAAATAACATCCATTGCTGTTTATAAGCCATATGTACTCTGCGAGTTCCAAATTATACTTGTAAGAATTTTAGGTCTTAATTTATAAAAAGTTACCTTCTTTGAAAAGTCCATATTCTTACCCTCAAAGGCGTATAGAAAGCATTTATTCAAAGTAGAGTTCAATTCTTGATTTGTTGATTCACTAGATTCATTGTCATGGTTTGGCCAGAAGATGGCTCCATCTAGCAGGCTCTAATGAACATCAGATTGTCTGAAGATAAATAAGGGCAATAAACAGCCTTTTGACAAAGCAATCTCTTTAGTAAGCACTAGAGCAAATTTCTCCTACAGGGAGATTTTTAATCTGAATGGAATCCCAGGAAATATATGAATCTTTAAGGCAAGATCTTCTTTTTTGCTGCCATTCTATCCTGGATGTAGGTTTTACATAAACACTGGATTATGTTGCTGGTGTGGTGGTTAATATGATAGCTTTTCATTTGAATAAGGCAAATCAAGGAATTAAAAACAAATTACAGTGCTAATTTAAAGCATACACACTATTTAGAGAGATTTTTTGCTTGTTTCTGAATAGCTGGCTCTAAGTGAAGTAAGCTTTACTAATCTTGCATTTTAATAAACATTCTTTTCCTTTCCCTTAATACTTGGAATATCTTCAGGATGGCTGGAGGAACAGGATGATTCCCTTCCCATAGCACTGGCAGCCCATAAATAGCATCGATGAACTTATGCTGGAGGCAGGTCTTTCCGTATCAACTCGCAGTCGCGATATGTTCGCCTGGCAGCAGGGAAGTGGAGTAAGAACCCGAGCCCTGAAGGTTATCTGGGGTTTGAAAAGGTGTGAATAAGACCGTGATGATGCAGAAAGGACACAGATAAAGCAAGCATTGACCCTGGGTTACAAAGGAAGACTGTAATCTAATCACTAATTATATAATCTCCTTGCTAATTTGGGAAGCTGTTTTCACTTTCTGAAGCTTTCATGTTGAATTTTGAGAGTACTTTTGGTAAACTTGGTCCACGTGTCAGAGGTTTTATGTAAATGTAAAATGTCCTATGGTTTCCACATTTGGAAAGGTGATGTGTTTAAAAAACAAAACAAAACAAAAAAGCCTTGCTTGAATATCTACTGTTTGCTTAGAGCAGTTTTGTTACTGTTTGCTGTAAGGTAAACTGTCAACAACTAGAAATCAGTGAGCAGGGAGCTAAAATCAGCACAGCTTCTGGGAGCTGCTGCAAGCTCCCACCGCATGGGAAGCACAGACTAAGATCTGTCCGGTTCTTGGTCTTCGATGCCTCGCTCAGAGCTGCAGGGAGTCACCTCCTTTGCTCGGTTTCCACAGCCTGAAAGCCATGCCTTACCCTTTTCCCCCCCAAATAAATAGGGAAGAGTTGGTTCCTTTTTCTTTCAGGGGAGAAAATGTCTACTTTGCATATGACAGCTGATTCCTTTATGAGCATCCCAACCATTAGGTTATTATGGAAAAGGGAGCAACCATCATTACTGCCTTGCCTGTAAGAAGATGATAGATGTCATCATGTATTTTAAAGAATTCATATGACCAAACTGTTGGCTGTGTTCTGGGTCAGATCGTCGGGAGATGGGGATGTATTTAGGTGAATGTTTTCTTTATTGAAGGTGAGGTTTTGGAGCTCCAGACCAACATGAGCACAGCTGCCAGCTGTGCACCATGACACCGTGCAGCCCTCCAGCAATTAGATATTTATGTGCACTGAGATGAAGCAGTGGGACAATCTGTCAAAAATGTTAGAATATTTTCAGAATATTTCAGAATATTTAAGGTTGGAAGGGACCTCTACAGATCATCTAGTCCAACCTTCCTGCTCAAGCAGGCACACCTAGAGCATGTGGCACAGGGTGGCATCCAGGCGGGTTTTGAAGACCTCCAGAGTAGGAGACTCCACAACCTCCCTGGGCAGCCTGTTCCACTGCTCTGTTACCCTAACAGTAAAGAAGTTGCTCCTCACCTGGAGACGGAACTTCTTATGCTTCAGTTTGTGGCCATTACCCCTCGTCCTATCGCTGGCCACCAGTGAGAACAGCCTGTCCCCTTCCTCCCTGCATTCTCCCTTCCTGAACTTATACATATTAATCATATCCCCTCTGAGCCGTCTCTTCTCCAGAGAAAACAGGCCCAGCTCGCTCAGCCTCTCTTCATACGAGAGATGTTCCATTTCCTTAATCATCCTGGTTGCCCTTCTCTGGACCCTCTCCAGAAGCTCCACGTCCTTCCTATACTGGGGTGCCCAGAACTGAACACAGTACTCCAGGTGCGAGTACTCCAGGTTAGGAGATCTATGCAGATCCCTGTGTTTTATGGGAAATCTGTGCTGCGGGTAGTTATGTAAAAATGTAATTAAAGGATTATGCAAGGCTTCAGCTGTATCAATCAACTGCAGATGTTCGTAATTTACTGTGCTGCAGCTGAGGGTCTTATTGTTTCTTGTTTCTGCCCTGCCTCTTTTCCTTGCATCACCTGCCTGCTCGGCATTTAGTCTGTGCTGTGTTCACACACCTCCTCTTGGCAAGAAAGAGGAGGGCTGGATTTAAACTGCAATATGATAACTAAGAAATTGGAGGATTGATTTATGGGCTGCCCTGTTGTTTTCTGGTGAGGAAAGCACATTCCTCACCACTGTTCTTGCATATCTCGGAGTTACTGCATCCATGCTGCAACATGAAAGTGTGTTTCAAACAGCATGAGAAAATGTGACACTGCAGTGCACGTGTGTATGTGTGGGAGAATGCAGGAGTTTTCCATCTGGAAAGCAAAGAGTTGTGCTGGCATCCATATTTTTTGTAAATTTACTCGCATCTGTATGTTTCAGCTAGGCAAAAATCATCATTGAATAAGTGCAGGCAAGTCCTTAAAATAGAGGAAGGGAAGATAAGAATAAATGCAAGGTCTTTCTGTAGGAGCTGTCTTTGTAATCTACTTGGCGGAACACAGGAATAAATGAGGAACATTTCTGAAATCCTGCTGCCTGGATTTCAGGGAGAGCTGCAGCTGGGGAGGCTGGTGTGGGAAAGAGCTGTTCTGCAGGGCAGCAAATGCAAGAGCTTCTCGGAAAGCACATGACCAGGGAAAGGCTGGAAAAGCACAACAGTGGCCTCCTGTTTAACACAATAGCTTAGTTTATTTGCGTGTTCAGAGCGCACACAACAACATGGATGGCTTCAAAAATATTTATGCATTTTAGAGGTAAAATATAAATCTGTACATTTCCTTTGAGCTGAAATGGATACCTGCTGGCAAAGAATTCTCCGCCAGGATCATTAGCTCAGCCAAGTAATTGTCAGAAATGTAGTTTAAGTTGTTTAAATTAATGTAGATGAATTACATTTATGCTATAGTAAATGGCAGAATCACTTTAAATACCTCCTTTTATGCTAGTTACCATTACTCCGGTTTAGTGTATAACTACTATGTTTGAGAGCAGCTGTTGTTGCATTTTATAATTTGTGTTTTTCTCTATAAGGAGGAGACCCTGTAATTAATTTTACAGAAGATTTAAGTGAAACACTGAGAGATTTTTTCTACCTAACTTCTTCGAAATAAAATATAAACCTAAGAAACAGGATCTAGGAGTATAAAAGCTGTATCTTCACTCCTATCAAGCACACAAACTGCCTCTTACATGTCACAACAAGTGGCTATTGTTTTGTAATACTGTATACTGTAATGTTGAAACGCATTAGATATCTCTTTTCTTAAAAAAAAAAATATTTCCCCAAAGGCTGTTCATCTGTGGCCTTAACATCTTTGTGATTGAAAAAGATCATAGAGAAGCTTATAAATGTATTAAAAGTGCCCTTGACAATCTATGTAAGCATTTTTTTATAATATTCTGCTTCTAAATGTCCAGTGTTTAATCTTGGCACTTTTTTGTAGTGCTTTTCATCTGACAGTTTACCCTGTAAACTGCATCCTAAAAACTTCTTGGAAGCAGGAAAATCACAGGAACTACTTCCACAGGGCTGGTGCAATTAAAACAGATGGATACCTGGATAACAGATGAAAGCAGCTCCAACGGCGCGGGCTTCCCCCAGCAAAGCTAGAGAAGCAGCTCTCCCTGGTGATAGAGCAGCAGTCTGATGAGGTAACCCTGTGGGGAAGAGGAGGATAGTGCCACCCGTGCTGGGGGTCATTTGCAGGCACTTAAATGCTTGGGCTGTTACCTGCTCTGCCGTCCTTACTGGTACTGCAGCGTTCAGAGCCGTCTCGCTCCCTGAAGCTGAGTTTCCTGCAAAGCGAAGAGCGGGAGCTGCGCGGCGCTCGTTCTCGTGCCAGGCGGGCTGTGCCGAAGGTGAGTGCCGTGTCAGCAGTGTCCGCCGCGCTCGAGAGCCCCGCTTGCCTTCACACGTGAGGGCAATGGAAAGTACGCGGTGTCCTAAGGAGAAGGCCTGATAATGCACAGGGATCACCAATGCAAAACAGTTTGAGCTGGGGGAAAAGAAATGCAGAATTTCAGCCAAGGAGAATATCATTCCCAGAGAAAGAATGTGTGTAAGTCCCAGCTCTTTCGTTGGGATACTGCTAGGGTATTAAGCAAAATGCCCAAGTGGCCCCCTCCAAGGAACTGATGCTGATATTCAGCGTCTGTGCTGCACATTAGATCATTGTAAGTGACTTCCAAATAATTGTGCCTCTAATGCAGCACAAATTCAGAGGCCTTAACGAAGGCCCAGAGGCAACCAGGCCAACAGCGATTTGCAAAGTTCTCAGCATGGAATCTCCGTTGGTTCTCCTGGAATCTCGACTGATTGCAAGACCAGCAGAATGATGCACGATTAGAGTGTTTTACAGTCATTATTTTATAAATGTGTTTGCTGATAAACTTGAAACAACCCTCAGGACTCCTCCTTTGTGGCTCTCTGGTGTTCTGGCTCGCGTGGGGAGAGCAGGCAGCAGCCCCTTCCCTCTGTCTCAGCCGTGTCAGGTTCCTGGTAGGAAACGCAGTGTATAAAGGGAGGTGCAGAGGAAGGGCCTCACCGCTGCATGAGAGGTGCAGGAAGGGGAGCAGTGTTACAGTTTGTATCCCAAAGTGCTATCCGGGATAGCCCATGTAGGGAAAATTAGGGTGGTTTTGCTGCCTCTGTGGCACAGCCCTGTTAGCGCCTGCCCACAGCTGCCGTGTGGTGTTTCCCAGTTGTGTCTCAACTGCAATCCACCTGCCTCGGCATTCCCTGCTTTCTGCTTCCCACCATCTCCGCTCCGTGCCAGGAGCCTATGCCTGTGCCCTCATACTTAAGAAAAGCGAGAGCTCTTATGGCTGTGGTTGCTGGAAAGCACTAAGATGTTCATTTAAGACCTTAACGTTCCCAGGATATTCAGGGCTGTTCCTGTTCTTCCTCGCTGCATCCTGCCCTACCCCTGTGCGTGCTGTTTCAGCTCCCGGTGTTATCCCGTGGGTGCTGCCACGGGTCTGCTAGCACGAGCACGTGTAGGGCACTTCAGGCCTGGCCTCAGCCCAAGCTCCGGCAAGCCCTGTGACCACGGGCGCCCTTGCCAGGGGCAGCGCGTGCCAATGCCCGCATGAGGGCCGGCAGATAGACAGGCTTGCTGGGCTGCGCTGGGGCCGCCGGCCAGCGCGTAACCCAACGCCGCTTGTCCGGGGCAGCGCGTGCTTAGGCTCGGCTCGCGCCAAGCGGCGGCCGCGCGTGCCGCGGCCCTGCCGGCGGCCCCGGGCTCCCGCCCCGCGGCGCGGGGCCGCCCCCAGGCCGCGCCGCCCTCCTCCGCGCCGGGCCCTGCGCGCGGTCACGCGGCGGCGCCACTGAAGCGGCCGGGCCAGGACGGGCCGGGCCGGGCCGGGGGAGCCGCTGAGCGCGGCGCGAGGATGCGGGGCCTGGCGGCGGCCGCGCTCCTGCTCCTGCCGCTGCTGCTGCAGAGCGGCGCGGGCTGGCGCGGCGCGGGCAGGGCGAGGCGGAACGTGGACCCCGAGACCAGCATGAACATCGTAAGTGGCGGCGGGCGGCGCCGGACCGTTAAACCGCCGCGCGCCGCGGCCTGCGCCCGGCCTCCCGCTCCGCCGTGGCAGCGGCGCCGCGGCCCCCGCTCTCCCGGGCCGTGTCCCCCCCAACCTCGTACCGCTTATATGGAAGGCACTGGTGACATCCAGAGCCCATCTCGTGTTGGAAAGGGCCCTTTGCTGCTGAAGTTTAGTCTTAGAATCACTTCTGCGTTAATGCCACCCTGGCTGGCTCAAGGTGTGTTTAAAAGAACCCAAGCTCTGCTTGGGTTTTCTGCCCAGAGCATTTCTCTTCCGCGTCCCCCAGCCAGCCCACGCAGGGGATTTGCTGCATTTTTAATGTTTTCTGGAAGCAGAGTTGGTGTCATAAAACAAATAAGTGGCAAGTTCTCCGGCCTTAAAGAGTGCGGGCCTGGGGCAGCGAATGAAAAGAACAGGAAGGCTGAGACGCAAGAGAAAACTGCTAATGAAATCATAGCGCCAGGAAAATGTGTATTTTTTTTTTAAGTTATTTTTACTCTTCCAGCGTGGTTTGTCAGTGAGCTGGCGCGGTGGCTGCAGGGGCAGGCGAGAGAGGCTCCGTCTGGGCTCGGCTCAGAGCGGCGAGAGAGGCTCCGTCTGGGCTCGGCTCCGAGCGGCCACTTTGCATCTCGCCCCGTTGCTCCGTATCCTTCCCATGGCTGCATCCCGCCCCATGGGAGAGGGGGCTCTGGCACCTTCCTGCCACACACGCAGCTTGCAAGGGGCCCAGGGTGCCTGACAGTGGTAAGGAATTGAGGAGAGGGGCAGCCTGACTCCAAGGCAGTTTCCTTTCTTTTCCTCAGAGTCAAATTATCACGTTCAGGGGATATCCTAGCGAGGAGTATGAAGTGACAACAGAAGATGGATATATCCTTTCCATGAACAGGATTCCTTATGGAAGAAAAGGTTATGAGAGAAGCAAAGGTAAGGAGAAAAGGTAATCTCTGCTAGGAAAAAAGGAAAGTCGTGAAAAAAAGTGCTTTAATTTGCAGAACTTTGGTGCCTAAAGTATCCCAGACAAAGATTATGCAATGGGAATGTTTTAATAGTGAAAATTATAGCTAAAATAGATTAGTCACATTTAGAGTGACTTGAGTAAAGGAAGGGAAAACAATTTAGAAAGCTAAAGCTGTATTTCCTTAATATTTCTGTTTTGTGGTACTAATGCAAACTCTGCTGTTTCACTTTTGAGGGCCAGAGTACTTGAATTTTCTATTAAATAGAAAACACTGAGTGAGATTTGTTTGGGTTTTTTTTTTCAGTAAATAACCAAATATTTTGATTATATTGCTGTTGTGTTGTTTCAAACAGCTTTTTTAGAAATCCTTTTTTTTATACAAAAAAATTGTGTTCAAATCGTCTGTTTTCAGAAGTAGGAGCAGTTCATAATTTTCTTTTGATGAAATATGCCTAGACCACAAATGGTCCCAGCAGAACATTCCCAAAGTAATTACAGGCTTATTTCTGCATAAAATTAGAATTAATTTGTTAATTATAACCTTTCTGAAGCTGCCTTGGAGTAAATTACAAGCTAGAGCAGTCCTGCATACTACTATGGGATCATATCATTGAGTACTTATATAGGTAAATATCATAATACGAGTAAAATCCCTTTGAAGCATACTGAGTGCAATATATTTAAAAATATTTGCAAATTAGGATCCCAAAATTGTTGTTGACAACATTCAGCCTAGACCATGTTGGTTTTTGTATGTAATTTGATAAAGGGGGTTAGGGAAGAAAACTAGCATATGCTCCCAGAGCTCCTGCAGTCTGTAAGAATCACTGTAAAAGCTGACAGAAGCTGACATGGAGCTGTGGAAAGGGATGCAGGGAGTGCATCCCTGGGATGAGTCATGAGGAGAGGAAGGAAAGGGAAGAGAATGGAAAGGAAAGGAAGAAAGCTGAGACTAAGTGATAGGGAGAGATATGAGCAAAGGTTTTTGCAAGGGGTCAATGATGGGATACTTTTACAAATGAGACAGAAAATGTATGTTGAAGAAAAGAGATGCATAACCTTTAACTTGTGATACTTTTACTCTGCAGACAGGAATTGCATTTGTGGATGAAAATAGGAATCCTTTGAGTTTGACAGATACCAATTATGTCACGACACTTTGCAAAAAATTCTGCATGCAAATATACACATGCAACAGCTGCCTGTTTGCATGGGAACTGTGCATATCCTAAGAACTACTTTTTGACCTTAAAAAACTTGCAGGAAGGGGTATAAATATGCAGCTCAGGGAAGAGAGATTGTCCTGCAGCCTGGGGTATGAACAAGCCCTATGAAAAAAAAGACCTTCTAGCTACCAAAGGCCAAACAAGGGCCTTTATGACCTTAGCTGTTGGTTTTTAGAGTCAGGATGTTTGTTCTAACCATTATCACTCACAAGGTAGACATGAGAACCTCAGTGCATGGATGAAGCCAGTCAAACCGTGCAGGTGTCTCTGTACTTAAAAATTCAGGAAAATCCCCAGGGAAAAAACAGACAGCCTTTGCAGGTATTGATTTTGTTGGCCCTTCCGTCTATGACATAAGCAAACAGAAGTTTCCTGACCTGTGGGAATTCTCCACATTCCCCTTGCCACACCCTCGACCTCAAGTTCATGCTTTGCAAAGTACCTTAATTTTGAAAACAAGGATTACTAAGCACATTTGAGGAAGTATGATCTCCTAGAAGAAGAATGAACACTTCAAAGTTCATGTTGATCTAAAGTTTTTATAGACCTGGTATCTTTTCTCAGAAGATACCAATGATGTGTTACTGCTGACCTGGCACATGTATGCCATAATTCTTGTTGTGAAATGCTTTCTTGATGTGAATAGGATTCACAGGAGTTTGTGTGTCACATGATGTTTTGCAAAAACAAAACAAAGCTTGTGGTTCCACAGCAGGGGAAGAAAAAGAGTGGGAAAATGTCCAGAGAGCCTCAGACCAAAACATCAGTGACTTTCAGTTTCACTGTTAACTAAAAAATCTAAAAAAAAAAAAAGAAATTCTTACCCAAATTATGGGATCCTTTCTCCCTCACTCCCACTTTGGGCATCTTAGGGTGCTACTAAACTATCATTGTCCGTGTCAGTTTGTCGAGTGATTGTGCATTTCATGTGTAGATCTGCTCATTGCTGTGTAAATGAAACAGGAGCTGGTAGAATTGGTGGCTAATCTGTGGACAAAATTAAAGTACTGAAATGATTAAACACTTCGAATCCTTCCTCTTTTATGAAGCATGGGAAGGCAGCCTGAGCCTTCAGGGTGTGTGTGAAAAACTAAAAATGAACATTGTTGAAAACAAATTTAGTGTTAGTCCTGAAAATTCTTTATGCTGTTAATAAAATGATGAAGTATGATAAAAACAGAGTAGTAAAAAGTGATCCTGAACTGTACTAGCTCTGCAGCTGTCTTGACTTTCCTAGGAATTTGCTCTGATTGCCGAAACATCCACAGGGATGTGTGTGTGTTTGGTTGGTTGGTTAACAGAAGGGGAAAAGGCACTAGAAAGATTTTTCACCACACATGCAAAGTTTGCTAGGAGGGAGGAATATTGATAATTTGGGTTTGGGAATCCACAGCACTTCTCTGTGGATGTGACTTGGAATGTACGATGTGGTAACAGATTTGGTTATTTCTGAAAAATCTTAAATCCAAATTATCAATGTGGAAAGTGTGGTGAGAGTTTAGTATTGTGGTAGAATGATGTGTCATTGAAAGAGGTGAAGTCCTGACTAATCTCGAGCACTGAGTTAACATTGCCATGTATCAATTTCCAGTTATTAAAGCAGAAGAAACACCACTTTTGCTATTGCAAGTTCCAGATTTATTTATTTGTTTGTTTGTTTGTTTTTGCTTTTTGCAGATTTGTAATAACCCTTTTGGGGTAGGGCAGTCAAGGGAGAGGCTTCCTTAACTTCATGCGTGTCCTGACCTTGGTTCTTTTCAGGGGCTGAAGTTACGGGGAGAAGGGCCCTTGAAACAATGATTCACTTGTTGGCTTCCCATGCTACTCTTTGGACTCTGTCGGGGTTTTAGTCATAGGAGGGAGCTGGATAGTGATAATATGTCAGTAGCAATTGCAGAGATGTGGCATTTCCACAGTTCAGCTTCCTAACTTGGTATTGTCCTTATTTTTCAGGTCCAAAGCCTGCTGTGTTTCTGCAGCATGGTTTGCTTGCGGATGGCAGTAACTGGATCACAAACTTGGATTACAACAGCCTGGGCTTTATGCTGGCAGATGCTGGCTATGATGTATGGTTGGGAAATAGCAGAGGGAACACCTGGTCCAGAAAACATATACACTTCACAGTGAAGCAAGAAGAATTCTGGGTTTTCAGGTAGCCTCGTTTGGGTAGGGAAACTGGAGAAATATACATTTAATGCTGTTTGTGAGCAGACTGCCCTTTTTGTTTGTTTGCCTGTCACCTCAGTTCAGTTACGCTGTAAGCGTTTGACATTTTTTTCTGGTAACATGTGCTGTTAACATCTGTAGCAGTAACAGGAGTTTTATGGTGGGTGTTGTGGCCTTCACAGATTATCAGCAGAACTCTCCTTGCTTTGGCAGTTCTTAAGTGAAGATTCCCTCACCAGAGCGTTCTGCATGATCCCATGGGAGCTTTGTTTTCTTCCCTAGCAACCCATCCGCATGGCAGCAAAGCTCTGTGTAGCTGTTCCACACTGATGATTTTACTTATACAGCCAACTTCTTTTGTTTGCCTTGTAGCTTTGATGAAATGGCTAAGTACGACATTCCAGCCTTTGTGGACTTCATTTTGAAGAAAACTGGCCAGGAACAAGTCTTCTACGTTGGCCATTCGCAGGGCACCACAATGGGTATGTGAAGAGAGATGCGTTCACTAGAATGTGCTGTGTCTGACTTCATATCAATTTTGCATATCTGGCTTAATGATGAAAAAAAGAAGGCTTCAGTAAAAGCAAGTTTCCACTGTTTAGGTGTTTCTGGGAATATTCATTAACATTAAAAGGACAAGAATTACTTTATGTGGTAATTTAAAGTAGGAATTCATGAAAATAATAAGTTGAATCTGGCCACCAGTGCAGTAGTGCAGTTTCTGTTCAAGGAAATATTTTGATTAATACCTAATGAGATCTAGAATAATCAGAAATATGAATGAAAATGTCCCTATCTGGAATATTTTGCTACATGCACGGCTTGACTCAAGTGCTTTTAGGCTTGTAGATAGAAAGAACTACCAGTATTAGGTAGGTTAGTATGTTATTGTAACCTGTTTCTCAGAAGAAGACAAATGCTCCTCATATGCCAATTTTAATTTTTGTTCTCCAGTACCCATTTTATTTTAAAATTCCTAAAGTGATGCTAAAGACAGCAATTAAACTGTATCAATTCAGTACTATTTCTGAACTGGGAATAATCTAAAAATACCTTTGTACACTTGATAGATTTTACACAGTCACAGCCAGCTTAAATTCTGATCTAACTTGTGTCAGTGAGACGTGTTAATTACTTCCGTATTATTTACAGCTTTCATTGCATTTTCAACGTTACCAAACCTGGCTAAGAAAATCAAAATGTTCTTTGCCTTGGCACCTGTAGCTACGATCAAGTTTGCTACGAGTCCTTTGGTAAAATTGGGGGTATTTCCTGATCTGCTACTCAAGGTTTGTATCTCAGTATAAATATTCTAAACCAAATGAAGTATGTCCTTTTCTGATTGAAAGGAGTGTAGCAAATAATGTTAATAGTTATGAATTAGAGATTAACATGTTTGACAAAATTACTAGGGCGGTTTTCCAGTAATAATGCTATAGAATTAACAGTGTATGCTCTGGCTTTACTACTAACATGATGATTTGTATGTTTAAAATAGAATTTTATATGGCAAATATCATATAATAGAACAGAATTGTCTTTTCTGATTGATGTGTGTCAGGAATGCAGCTATAAAAAATCCAGGATTAATTAAATAGCTGGCTTATTTTAGGAGACTCATATGATAGCTTTATGTTTCTATAGAATGTGTCTGAATTTCTGTGAACTTCAGCAGACTTGTTTCACAATTAACCACTGGAAGAGGATCCTTCAGAGCATGATTAAGAGCAGCAGCTTTATTTAGGTGCTGTGAATCATTGCTGGGGTGAGCTTGCCCTTCCCCATGCAGAGGAAAGGGAACGCAGGCAGACTGGCAGGCTGCCGCGGGTGCCCCGAGGCAGACGCTGTGAACAGCCCGCTGTGCGTCGCGTGGCTTTGCATCGCCCGCGGAGGTTCCCACTCAGCTCTTCATACTTAGAGATGAACCCTTTTCTAATGGATTTTGTACAAATTGAATGCACATGTGTGCATATGTGTACATGCACATGCACAGCTTGTTTCCTTCTCCAGAGGGCAAGTAGCATAAACGTCATGCTAGCGATTCATGTTCATGCTCTGCTAGGGAACTTCATGGTCATGGTGACTTCCAAGAAACCCTGAGTGTGGGAGTCCATGACAGCCACAAGCCCATGGGTCAGGCATATCCTAAAGAATTGTGTCACTTTAGTGCTTCGTGGGCTGTTTTGAAATCCCTGGAGGCTTTAAAAACAGCAAGAGGAAGTGTCCACTGCAGCTCATGAGACTTGTTTGCTTATGTGGTTAGAGGAGAGGAAGTACCAAAGTCATTATTAGCAGATGCAGATTAAGTATTTTAGCCTTAAACAATTCTAATGACAAGAATCTGTACAGTAGGCCTATGAAATACTAAAATCAGTTGGAATTTGAGGTTAGATTTGAAATTCTTGAATGATTCCCAGTTTCCGTATAAACTTTGTAGGGGTAATTGATTGTGTCATTTGCAACAGAGGCACTAATTTTAACCTTCCCATTGGACTGTAAACAAGCTTGATTAAAGACATCATTGTCATCTGACTTGTCATCAGTAAAAATGGAAATGGTTACCTCAAGCAACCATCCCATCCCAATCATCCTATGCAATTACGTGTTTGTTCTTTATTATTTTGCAGGATATGTTCGGAAAGAAACAATTCCTTCCTCAGAATTTTTTGCTGAAATGGCTTGCTACGCATGTTTGCACCCACAGACTTCTTGATGACCTGTGTGGCAACATATTCTTTCTTCTATGTGGTTTTAATGAGAAAAACTTGAATATGGTACGTTTTGATGACTTTCGATAGTTAACTGTGAACTCTAACATATTATTCACTGTGTACCACTGAATTGCTTACGTTTTTACATACATATAAGAAAACAAGGTTCTTCATTGTCCTGAATTTGCATATATTTCTTCACTGTTAACAGAACTGCTGATGCTTTTTTCTGGTTTCTTGGAGGACACACAAAGTTGTTTTTCCTGGGGCCAATCACTGCTTCTGCAGATACTTTTAACTGGTCCTAGCTCCAGAGGGAGAATTGTTAGGATTTTTGTTTTCTAAAAGCTAGTTAACAGCAATTTGCATGAGAACACCTTTTCTCATGATGCTTCTGGAAATGTTTCTGAATTCCCCGAAATCAGAGGAAGCTGCTGTTGGTATATCCCACAGGTGGATGACCTCTGAGGAGGTTTATTTTAATGGAGCAGCATAGAATCAGTATTTTCTTCATGATTCTGTCTGCCTGAGAGCACAGTTTATGTGTTTTACCTCAAGATGAAAGCAGTGGCTTTTGCATTATTTCTTGCTTAGTGCATACAGTTTTCATGGTTTTAGTGGAGCATATTTTTTTTTCTGCCAGGATTTAGATTATATTTCCCCTGGATATTGTGTACTGTGTAACTCAAGGCATATGAAGTTTTGAATAGCTTAGATTTCTGAGGAGGTGCTATTTCCAGTGCACTCCCAGTTCTTACAGTATTACCACTGTACAGTATTACCAAAAAAGTATTTTTAAGTATATAGTGCTTAAAATTTATCATTATCATGTTTAAAGTTCAGCTGCATTTTTTTCTGTTTATGTGTGCATATACACATGTATACTCTTTATTTCTCCATGTAGTTTTAGTTTTCGTTTTCTGTGCTTTGCATTTTTGCATTCTGCTCATCTGAGAAAAAGAAGTGAAATGTAGAAATTAAAGCATAAATTAAATCATATTTGATTCTAGTATCTCTATTACCAAAACTCATGTTCATAGTTGAGACTCACAGTACCCTAGGGGGAGACTTATATTCACATTTCATTAAGTAAAAGCAGAATAAAAGAAAGAAAGAGTTTGTGGTTATAGTCTTGCTTTAAAGATTTGTCTCAAAAAGTAATCCCATATTCTGGTTTAATTTGAATTGGCCAAATGTTCTGTAGTTATGGTAAGCAATCCCCAAAGCATCTGAATATCTTACCTCTTCTGTATATATGTCTTCAGTTAACATTTTGTTAGAATAGTTTTTAAAAAAGGGAAAAAATTATGTTAATTTTTCAAAAAGCACCAGTGGTTCTAACTATTGCGTGTGAGGAATAAACCATGCTAATTATCTTGTTGCAGAGCCGAGTGGATGTGTATTCAACACACTGTCCTGCAGGCACATCTGTACAAAACATGATCCACTGGAGCCAGGTAAGAGTTTTTAGAATCACAGATGTCCATGGTTTTAGCTTATGTGTTAGTGTAGTGATCTGATGTTTAAGAGGAATGAGAATATATGTAGGATAGCCCAGGGGGCTGTCAGAATGGCAGCTGTTTACTGCAGCTGCTTTTATGGAGATGGCTGTGATGCCAGCTCCCTCTGTCCTTGTCTCCCCCGCATCCCCTTCCCAGTGTGCCATATTTCTTTCTGAGGGGTTCTGGGGCACACAGCTGCCTAAGCATTGTCTGGAAGGAAATCTGTGAGGAGCTTTTTAAATATTTTTTTCCCAGATCCCCATAATATAGAGTGCTGTTTCTGAAAAATAGTAGGTGGTAAATGATGCAGAGTAGACTTTATAAAAAAGCTATATAAACACTGCTATGTTTATATATACTTAGACAGCTACATAAATATTTCTGAAGCATGGAGTTGCCACATCCTGGCTTTGGATCCATTAAACTGTTCCTCTTAATCTTTCCTATTTTGCTGTGAAAGAGTGTTGAATCTTAAGGGTCAAAGTGTCATTCTTTTGAATGCTAGTGTTTCCCATGCCTGTGGCACTGAGCAAGGCAGTGGCACTTGTCCTAACTAATACTGGTATCTCACAGTTTCCTTTGTCAGTTGTTTTTGTTTCATTGTCTAGGTAAATATTAATCCTATTTCTCCACTGAAAATGTTTGATAAAAGCCTTGTGATTCTTCTTTGTATGTGTGAATATTTGTTCATTTCTAGGCTGTGAGATCTGGGGAGCTCAAAGCTTATGACTGGGGAAGCAAGGCTGCAAATATGGCTCACTACAATCAGGTAGAGATATTTTACAGATGTGTTACAATTCCTGAAAGGCACAAAAAAGTGTTTTGGGCTTGATGCTGCCTTAGACTGTGATGCTGCTTTCTATGGGGAAAAAAGACAGGCTAAAGAGCTGTGAGGTGAAGCTTAAGTATGTATGGAGTCCATGCTCAGACACACAGTTGTGTCTGCACCCTGTTTCTTGGGGGTGATCCTTTTGATAAGATTTAATTAGCATCCCACATGCTTAGGTAATTAGATTGTGCTGCACTTCTCACAAGAGGGAACTGTCAGTTTGTGTATCATGCTTATCATCTTTCAGCCTGTTTAGTCTGCACATGTGTTTGTTTCTAAATTGCTGTGTGCAGCATTAAAAATATTTTGCCCTTTGTGCATTTAGTGGCAGGACAGATTGCAGTTTGTTGCTCTCAGAGTAACAATCACTTTTAATATTTGGTTAAGGCTTGGGAACAGTCGAATGAGAAATGCTCTCTCAGCCTCCCTGCTGTACACTGGCCTTACCCAGCTGTTTTGTTGCTTCCCCAAACCACATATTTCCTGTCACACATGCTCTAATGTTGCTGAGCTCTAGGAGCTGGATCTTCCTTTGAAAATCAGTGTTCTGTATCTACCTCTATCTGTCCAAGAGCAAAGGACAAAAAAAGGATAATCTGAAACATTCGTCTCTCAGTTGCTAGTGCACTGCTGTGCAGTTTCATACTATTGCAGAGACTTGTTCTTTCTAATGTTTGTATATTTTTTTTTCCTGTTTTTCCCCCTCTCAGTCTACTCCCCCTTTCTACAAAATAAGAGAGATGACTGTGCCAACTGCTGTGTGGACTGGTGGACAGGACTGGCTGGCAGACCCAAAGGATGTTGCCATGCTGCTCACTCAGATCACAAACCTGGTTTACCACAAAAACATTCCAGAATGGGAACATTTGGATTTCATCTGGGGTCTTGATGCACCTTACCGCCTATATAATGAAATAATGAATCTGATGAGAAAGTATCTCTAAACCTGATAGGTATTTCATGAGGGTTGATCCATCGGAAATTCATCTTTCCGAAACTTGTGCTTTTTTGGCAGTGATGCTACCCTGTTTATTTATGATGCATTTTTAAAATGCCAGCAATGACTACTGAACTGGATTCTCATATATATTTTTTTTCTCAGTATTATTGCTCTCTGCTGCAGAAATCTTCATTGTTTCCTGCTTATTTTGCACACAGTGGCATAATGCTTAGAAAACACCAGTTTGTACAGAGAAAGCATTTCCAATGCTTACATGGTTAGTGACATGTCTAAAAGACATGTAGTCCCTTCAGCACCTCAGGTGCTTGACAGTTCCAACACTTAGTATTTTGCCATGCATAAAGCACTGTTGTTTTTCAGTATATTATCATTTCTAAGTACCTGTTAGAGGTACTCCTTGTACTGCAGGGATCTCATGTAGTGCCGGTACTTTAAAAAGCACTTAGCAACTTTTTTCTGTTATTGTGTTGCTCACGTCAAACAAGCTAGCTACATCTAATGACTTTCTTTTTGAATGTTGTCCAAACGAGTGTCATGAAGCCAGACAGTATCAACACTGAGAATTGAAATTTCTTCTTTTGGGATTGATTCACTACTGTATTTTTCTTGATCTCAATGATGTTCTTGAAGCCATTCATGTTTTGCATACCAGCTAGGGATGAGAATTGTCTTTTGCCCTTGCAGATTCCTCGAACAAATAGTTAAAGGAAATACCACTTTTTTTTGGTCAGGTCTGTCAATAGGTTGTGAGTTTCAAAGATGCACATACTGATGTTTTGTTAGCAGTGGTAAAATGGTCACTGGAAAACAAGACTACTGGGGTAGGAAGGACCAAAGTAGCTATTCTGTGACTCAGGCAGCTTCATTTTTTTTTTTTTTTGGACTTCGCTCTTAATCAGCTGCTGCTTTGAAAAATCTTACTTCGTACATACTTACATGGTACTTGCCACCAGTGTGTTCAGAACTTGAAGACACCTTGGGAAAGCTTGGCAGTATTTGTCTGAATTTCCGTTTCCCTCAGTTTTTCTCTTTAATGAGGCTAAGCCCCCCCACTTAGCGGAGGGGGGAGGATTTACTTCTGCTTTAGGGTCTGACTTCAGGGCTGTCACTGTCTCTGGCATAGGTGCCTTGCTCTTCTCAGTGACCGTGTGGAACATTTTGGCTCCTCTGGACTGCATGTGAGTTCACAAGCCAAATGTAGCTGAATAAAGACTCTCCAAAGCAAGTTATCTTAGTTCAAATAATAATTTCTGTGCCAAAGTTGCAGACTTTGATCTGTTCAACACAGATCTCTGTCCATACAATCCTAACAGGAGGAACAGTCTTTTCCACATGACGTGACAAATACTGCATTTTTATCTGAGACAAAAACTGCAAAAAAATACATAATCTATAAATCAAGGGTTTCTTTCCTTCTAATTCAGACTCAGGGTGTCCCTAGCTTTCATTTAAGAAAAAAAACCTGTTTTTAATACTTCAGTTATGATTCCTAACAGGTGTTTAAGTTTGCTTTACATTTGCAGCAGCCGTACTTGCTTCGTGTTGCTGTGCTGGAAGTAAGTCCAAAGAATCCAAAGTGGCTAAAATGGCAGTTGGGACAGGTATATGATACAGCAAGAACCACGTGCCTAATGTTTATTATGCTTGAGACATTTTCAATAAATGTGGAAGTTCTGCTTGGATTTTGATGTGTTCTGTTTCACTTCATGTTTTTTTATGAATACATGTGAATTTTGGGGACAGAATCCAGCAGATTTAGTTGCTCTTTCTTTCTTCACAGCTGTTCATCCATACAACAAGTACATGATGAAATAAAGAAAATATAAAGTAGTCAAGTTGTACTTTACTTCTGTTGTTAAGGGGGCTTTGCCTCAACATAAGAGCTCATGTTATTTTAGGTGACTCTTGAAACTTCTCTGACACTAAGGAAGGTATTAACTGTGAATAACTAACTACTCTCAGGACTGAGATGTTTTTGAAGCCTCCAGGTAAAAGAGTTCCTTTCAAATGACTGACATGGTGGAAAGCTTCTTGTGTCACGTTCTTAAGCCTTGTGTAATTGGATTGCTTAACTGACTGTCCAGTAATCTCATAAATAGCATTTAACCACATTGTAGGGCAAGGAACTGATCTTTGCCTTGGTAGGCTTGATGTGATCACCTAGGTACCTTGTAACTCAGCTTTTCACCTTCGTTGTCTTCGGTAATAAACACACTCAGGCTGTGCCTTCTGTAGATTGTGAATACCCTAGGAGATGTGTAGTCAAGAGAGCAGGATCTATAAAATCTTACTTGTTGTCAGGCTTATCTGCTGATGACCCCTCTACATGATGGGAAATAAAGGTCAAAACAGGATTTTTTTTTTCACAAAAGCCATTATGGAGCTTCTCTGCTTTGCTGGAACAGGGATGGGTATGGAAATGAGAAACTACGCCGCTATCCCTAGCCTGCTGGAGTTGCAAGCAGTGTGTGACAAACTTCCAGAAGCATCAGTGGATAAAATTGTGTGAAATGAGACATGAACCTGGAGGGAAGGAGCAAAAAACATGTTCTAGATACAAATGAGTAGTGATGAACGATCCACTTCAAAGCAGATCTTTCCTATTTAGTGCTTGCCTTTGCATTGCAGTGATGTTGAGGCCAAAACATCAGCTTGGGATAACATCAAAGCCTAGTAATGTAATAGAAGGAGAGAGCATAGGACATTTTTCTAACAAGCTGATCATTTTCCTGACTTAAACCTGCTGTAATGTGATCAAGCTGTGCTAGAAAGCAGGAGATCTGGAGCGAGTCCAGCACAGGACTCTCCTGCACTGGAGACAGTCCAGAGCAGGGCTACAAGGGTGATCAGGGGCCTGGAACATCTGCCCTATAAGGAAGAACTGAGAGAGCTGGGCCTGTTCAGCCTGAAGACGAGAAGGCTGAGGGGGAACCTGATCAGTGTCATTAAATACCTCAAGGGAGGGACTGAGGAGGATGGGGTGGCCTCTTTTCAGTGGTGGCCAGTGATAGAACTAGAGGAAACGGCCACAAACTGAGGCACCAAAAGTTCCACAGGAACTTAAGAAAAAAAAATTCTTGACAGTGAAGGTGACAGAGCCCTGGAACAGGCTGCCCGGGGAGGCTGTGGAGGCTCCTTTGGAGATCTTCAAAACCTGGTTAGATGCAGCTCCGTGTCCTGTGCTCTGGGTGACCCTGCATGAGCAGGGGGATTGGACTAGATGATCTCCAAAGGTCCCTTCCAACCTTAAGGATTCTGTGAGGGACAGTGGCCAAATTTCCAGATCCTACCTTGATTGTTTCTACTTTGAAGACTGTTCCTGGTGTTAAGATAGGACTTGAGAAGTAACAGTTTGCCTTGCTGCAGCCTTCCATCACGAGCTGTTGTTAAGAACTGATTGAAAACCTTTCATTAAGCCTGCTTATCTGCTGTCTAGAGAGATTTTCAGTGAAATTTGTTTGAGGAGGTGGAGTGTTGATATGAAAATGATTTTACTAAAAAAGCATTTTAGGTCAGTTAAGAATTTAGACCAAAGATTTTCTTGAAAAGCTGGGAAGGAAAGTGTGTTTACGTAAGGGCCCTAGGTTAAAGCTGCTTGCCTAGGAGATGAGGAAGGCTCACATCCCTTCTCTAGATTCAGATACTTGAACCTCAGTATAGCTAATCATAAGGAGAGATTGAAAAGATCCCTCTTTCCTTCCCAACCTGTTCATCTGTGGGGCCTGTGACGTAGTCCTGTGCCAGCCAACTTTTGAAAGCTGCCCCACTGCCAAGTAGTGTGTACTTCGCTATCCTATGACATTTTAGCAATATGGATGAACATTTTGAAAGGAAGACGTTTTTCCTAGTACCAGTTACGTTAACAGGGAGCGAACGTTTACGTTGAAAGGAGCGCTGAGGCAGTGGCTGGCGAGGGCCCTGGCCGCTCGGCCTGGCGGGCCGTGCACGCGCCGCTCTGCGCTGGGTGGTGCTGTTGCCTGCAGAAAGGCCGCGGTGGGACGCCCGCAGCATAGAGAGTTGGCTCGAACCCTCACAGAGCTGCCATGAGCTGCTGCTGAAAAGTATCTGTGCGCTCAGTCTCTTGGAATAAGGTGAGTTAGTGTTTGAGGAGCTCCGGCTGCTTTTTCTTCTGTCAGGGTTAACTGTTTGTTTTAAAATGAGGTACGGGACGACCTCTCTCTCCATCTGCTCTAGCGTCTGTCCTGCTTTGCTCTTACTCTCCTTCCTAAGTGATCGACTCCGCTCCCCAGCATCCTTTTTCTGTTAGAAGGTTCAGCACTGTCCTGAAACCTGTTTCTCATCTATCCATGTTATGAGGGGGGACGTGTTGTCATCTCACCACTGAGAGGGGGAGAGCGGAGAGAGAGATTTTGTCTGTGCTGTTGTGCCTCTATTTTCAGCATATTGATCCTGGTTTTCCCTCATGCTACTTCTTCCTCCTTTTCCTACCCACTTGTTAATGTTTTGCTGCTCTCATGATGGCTTATACCTAGCAGCTCAGCTTGGGGTCGGTGTTTGCATCTCGTGCTCATGTGGAATCTATTTAAGACCCTTTGCGGGGCCTCATTCCAAACTATGTGCCCTTCAACCTAAACGCTGCAGCAACAGGCTTGATTTTTAGAGACCTACTTAGAATCTTGTAACACATGGGAAAGTTTGGCAGTACCGTAACTTAAGTGAAAAAAGCTGGGGTTCTGTTGTTGAATTAAACACAGAGAGGATTTGCATGTATTTTGTCTTTTCTTTGCATTGTATCTTGCAGTGACAAAGGAATTCAAGTTAGAGAAGCAGTGTAAGTATGTGAGATAGATGCTTTCTAGTGACAAAGCCAAATAGCTTGAAAACAGTGACTGGAAAATAGAGACCTAAAGAGGATTTGCCATCTCTGCGGCACAAGGACTCAGTTTTTTGAGCATACTGGCTGCTGAGCCGAGCGAAGCCCCGGCAGAGGTAAAACTTGCCAGCAGTTCATCCTCCCGACGCCGGCAGATGGGGCGCAGCGTGACCGTGACCGTGACCGTGGCTCCTGCCTGCGAGCAGAGTCCACCCCGGCGCTGCAGGCAGGCTCTGTCCACAGGGCTGCCCCCACGTGCGCCGCGTGGGTCAGGGTATAGCAGCAAGAAGACTGCAAAATTCTCCAATTTTTTCCTGAAGGGACTTCAGAATATTTTTCTATGACCTAATCTGCGGGCAAATTGCCCATTCTTTACATTTTAGTTTATGGGCAGCATTTGTACTAAAACTTCTGGAGAATTCACAAAGCTGTTAGGGGTTAGTTGGAGGAGTGTCTTTAGGGCAGTTGACCAATTTCTGTCTATCTTCCTGTAGGCAGATTTGAAATACATTATAGAACAAATTCAGTTCTTGCATAGTTCTAATAAAATGAAGTATCACATATCATATGTGGCAGACTTACTTTCTGATTGTGTCTACATAAATCAATGGAAAGCATCTATAAAAAGAAAAAGTTCTGTCGGGGACAGCGATTGCAATAGAAATGCATCTCTTGTGCTTTTTACGAAATGTCGGTCAGGATAAAATACTGTCAAAAGGTTGAGTGAAACTCATAGTTATACATCCTCATCTGTTAAATCTTACTGGGTTTCAGTTTCTCAAAATTCAATGGCCTAAATTAATTGAGTTCAACAGAACAGCTCACATCAACAGAAATGTGTATCCATTTCTAAAACAGATGCATCAAGCAGAGTGTATGAAGACCATACCATAGTTGTCTCTAAAAAATAACTTCTGATTGCCTGATTATTAGCACTGATCATATTAATGTTACTGCTTCAGTGAACCCTTATTAAGAGCAGAATCTCTTGAGAAGAGAGACTGAAAACAAAGTTCAGGATTAGAAGTGCCTAGATCAGAAAAGGTCACTGCTAGTTTGTCATTCTTAATTATTAAGCAGCAATGAAATTCTGACTCCCATTTCCTCCATCAGAATTCTTTTCTGAATAGCAAAGAACTATAGCAAAAAGCAAAGAACTAGAAAAATCTTCTGAAAAGGCTAATAAAGTCGTCCAGGAAGCTGAGCTCATTTCCAATGTTAGAATAAACACAGTACCTACAAAAGAGGTGAGTTCATAGGAAGTTGATGGCAAACACCATTTCCTCAAATATTCTAAGCTTTGTCTGTCTTCTTCAAAAAGCACAGACGAAGCAATCTCACAGTGCTTAAACTAAAACTTCCATCTTTTACTCCTAAAATGCTTTTAGCAAATTTTAAGAGCTGGGTCTTGAGCCTACCCACTGTGTGCTCTTTGCTTGTGAATGGTTGAAGGAACATCATTTAAAGGACACAGGTCTAACTAGTGGACCCTCTCATTATATGATTGGGATAAA